TCTCTCTCTCTCTCACTCTCTCTCTCTCTCTCTCTCATACAGTCACACACACACACTCACACTCACACTCTCTCTCATACAGTCTCTCTCATACAGTCTCTCTCTCTCTTTCTCTTTCTCTCACACACACTCACTCATTCTCACACTCACTCAAAATGAAACAGTATATAATTTACAGTTTCATCATCCTCAGAGTTATTCATCATGCAACAACGGGGGGGGAAAAAACTTTTTCTGCACTGAAATTTCAGGCCTTGTCTCAAAACTCGCTGCAGCACACTCCGCCTCTGCCCTCGGCTGCATCCGCCATGTTGTCTTGTGGCTACGTCCGAAACCACACCCTATTCACTATATAGTGTGCTGCTTTTGGAGTCCGCCATTTTGTAGTCGAATCACAAATTCCGCTCCCTACATTAGGTAGTGTGCTACTTGGTGCCCCAGGGCGCATGCGCAGTACCATCTCTTAGCCGTACAACAATCCACTGCAGCAACGACAGCCAGTAAAACAGGACATTGAAGCAGAAACGCAACAGCAGTGCTTCAACATCATGATGGGTAGGAGTTATTAATTTCTCCCAGGAGTTAGATATGTGTTGTAAATAGCGGCTGTGTTAGTGGGACGTTTATAAATCCGGTGCTGCGTTGCTAGCACACTTGACGGTCAGTTAGCTAGCAAATGAGCAAGTGCTGCTACTCGTAGCGGTGTTTAGTAAATTTATATTATTTTTCCCGCTGTGTTGATGCTAAAGGATTGTTTGCATCTGTTAACTCATATTTGTTTATTATTTTTTATTATCTGAGAAATCATTACAAAAGAAATGCTCATGAAGTAGCAAATGGCTCGGATACAAAATCTTCCTGTTTCCTGTAGTAACGGACAGAAGAGCAGAGTCGAGCCTCTTCTCGAGTCTTTCCTTCAGAAATCACTTTATCGCTGCTTGTTTTGGCGGTGAATCCTGAACAGTAGTGTCCCTTGCGACGAAGGTGAAGTGGCGAGGCAATGGTTTGAGACAGGGCCTACTTCTTTGACTGTTGTGCTCTCGGCTTGTTTTGGTATCATTTAAGTCTTAAATTAATTTTCCTATTAGTCTGATTATATATATATGTTATATAATATCGACCATTACACAATCCTGGTACATAAAAATGTGTATAAATTTTTTTATGTGATTAGATTTAGTTAATTTTTTTTACCGACGTTATTGGTTCTCACCCGTTTTCTGACAAGTCCCGCCTCCTCGCCGGGGCTGGTTTGTCGTACTTAATTATGATTGGCTTATAGAGTTTCTTCTCCTCGTGAGGTATGAGTGTTTTAGCCAATCGCAGCGCAGGAAGACGTGTTTACCGAAATACGGGTAGGAAATACGGTACGCTCATGATTCGCGCATGCGCATTTGGTGTCTACAAGTACGGCAAGCACCGACCACTTTTAGCAGAAAGTCCAGCTAAATTATTGAAGCACGTTATGGGTATATGTATATTTTTGCTTGGCTCAAGCATATATATGTGTTACTTACTTTATATGAGGATTGTACCTCTACATCACCGGAGAATGTAGTCAGTTTTTGGTCAGTTTAGTGTTAACTGTGTGTCAGTAGGCATTTAATCCGTTAAAAAAACCTCACATACTTGACGATATGAGTAACTAAACTTGTGTTAAAATGCACAGCTCTCATAATGATGGTTATTTTTACATTTAACCTGTTACAGCTGCCATCCGGTAACAGCAGTTATACCGCCGCCCGGTGTTGTCCAATCAGCGAGCTGCTTTTTAGTATGAACTAGCAATTTATCCAATCACAGCTCAGTAGGCGGAGTTTCAGGGTTACGCGCGTGAAATAACGCATTTTTAGGCGCGTGCAGACCCGAGCAGACAGCGCATGCGCGTTTCCATCGGCAACCCCGATAGAAAAATAAGACACTAGCAGTGTTTGCGTTTTTTTTTTCATTTTTTATTTTTTTTTGAAAAACGCAATGGTTACCGAATACTGTCTGTTCAGATGTATTAAACATGTGTTATGTGTTGAATCCGGGTAATTTGATCTTTTATAAACCGTTAGTAACTGACCTCTGGAAGGCCAATGATGTTTATCGTAACTGCGTGTGTTATCGCGAGATTATGACGCGTGATACGCTCCCTATTTGATCTAGACAGATATTTAGTTAATGCTTTTCTGAGGACAAACTGAGGAAGCCACGTGGTGATGTTAGTGGCCATAGTGACAAATATCAGAAAAGAAAAAAAATTCATAATGGAAATAATATTGCTTTCTATTTATTCCATAATGTTCTCTGCTCTCTGTAGGTTCTGTCCCACCCATTTCCTCACTG